TTATCACGGGTCGCACATAAAAGGAGCACTTGTACACGTTGGACCAGGTGTTGCATAAACACTCTGAACACGGTTTGCGTTTGAAACGCTCCAAATGTACTTTCCTAGTTGATTCAGTTGACTACCTCGGTTATAGACTGGACAAGCATGGTTTACACGCGCGGAAAGATAAGTTACAACCCATTATTTCTGCACCCTCACCTCGTAACGGAGCCCAGTTACGCTCGTTCGTTGGAATGCTTTCACATTATCGTCGGTTTCTACCTAATCTTGCTTCTGTTCTAGCACCACTTCACAACTTGCTGAAAAAAGATTCTAAGTGAGCATGGAACGATAGGCTCACAAAAGGAGGAGGGGTAATCCTGTACTACCGAAACGACTTACAGTGCGAAGCCGTGGAGGATTCAGATTCGCAGTTCCCTGACTCCCTTTGGTGCCGGTTACAGTTAAAAGGCAGAGACGCTTGCCTTATTATCTTGGTGTACCGCGCCCCTAACTCAACACCCGAAAACGACTACCACCTAATGGCTGCTTTAAGGTGCAGTTTACAACAAAAGTATACTCACATTCTTATCATGGGTGATTTCAACGTACATTGTTTAGAAGCCCCTGCCACGATCGGAGAACAATTCAAAACCGATCTACAAGATCTAGTAACTACTGCTCCTCTTTACAACCACATCACTTTGCCCACTCGGTTCAGAACTGGTAACAGGCCATCTGTGCTGGATCTTGTGCTTACCAACGAGGAGCATATGATTGATGCGTTGGTTTTAGACTGCCCGTTGGGTCGCAGTGATCACGCAGTCATCAGTTTCAATTTCGTCTGCTATGCAGAATATCTGAATGATAACGATGGTACTGTGCGAACCATCACAAGGTACGACCGACTCGCCCAGCTGTCGGCGCCACAACATGGTCTTTCCTCGAAGAAGAACCCCCGGAAGTCGCCTGGCTCGAGTTCGTCAACACATTCAGTCAGCTGATTGCACAGGCTTCAGAGATAAAAGCTTGCAATCAGTGCAAATCAGTTTCTTTCGTTAGGAGCAGAACCCGAAAATGGATGACAGTACGCAATGCAGCATGGCGAGTGTACAGAGAAGCTCCAGCACCAGAAACTTGGGACAACTACGTAGCCCAACGTAACCACTGCACTCAATTGTTAAGAGAAGACAAAGCCGCCTATCAGCAGAACATCGCAAAAACCTTCAGTGCTAACCCCAAACTGCTGTACAAGCACGTTAATAGCCTACGAAAGGTGAGGCAAGGATTTCCTCCACTCAAGACGGCTTATGGCCAAACAAGAACATCTATGGAAGCAGCAAACGCGCTGCATGTGCAATACGCCCCCACGTTTCAAAGAGTCTTGCCACCAAGCGATCTACCATGCTTTGTCTTCTGCTCACCAGCACTAACCCACATCAATTTTACCGCAGCGACTGTATTGCAAAAGCTGACTTCTCTACGCAAACACAGCTCACCGGGTGTCGACACCATTCGTCCAGAGGCATTGGGAGCAGCAGCAAACCAACTGGCAGGATATTTAGCTCAGTTTTTTCAGCACTGCTTAGACCAGAACTAAGTTCCCGCCATGTGGAAGCTTGGAATAATAAGCCCGATTCACAAAAGTGGAAGCAGATCTGATCCCTCCAACTACCGCCCAGTAACCCTTCTTCCTATACTCTCCAAGGTCATGGAATCCATAGTTGCCGATGCACTGGTGTGCTATCTGGAAAACTGCAACCTCATCACTCCTGAACAGCACGATTTCCGTCGACAGCGGTCATGTACAACTAATTTACTCATTGCACGCAGTAGTTGGACCGAGGCAGCTGACGCTAGTAAAGGTGTTGATGTGATATACCTGGATTTTTCCAAGGCTTTCGATCGTCTAGACCATCGGATACTACTATCCAAGCTGCAGCATTACGGGATCGGCGACCCTCTTTTAAGCTGGATCGCCAACTTTCTATTTCAAAGGCAATTAGTGGTCAGAGTTCGGAGCTCTTTATCGGACCCCATACATGTGGAGTGTGGTGTGCCGCAAGGCTCGGTTCTAGGTCCACGTTTGTTTCTGGTGTTTATTAATGACCTCGCACAGGGAATCGCTTCAAACTTCCTAATGTTTGTGTAAAACGTGCGGCCCTCCGGCAGAAAGAACAACAGGTGGCGGCGACACGAAAATCTTTATTGGCGAGAATTGCTTTCTTTTTATATCCGATATGACCATTTTCTGCGCCCGTTTCTATTCGGCTACTACACTTTCATGCATTTGTCTCCATTTGCCAGTGTCCTTTGATCCTGGGCGTTTCGCCTCCAATCGTTCGGTCGTAATTCGTCCATGGCATTTGCTACAATTGGTTCCCCATGCTGTGTCTTGACGATCAAAAACCAATCGGCCGATGGGTTTCGGTTCAGTGCCTGCTCTTTCTGGCCAATGGACGGTCGTTCGCGTACCGGATTGACGTGACGCTGATTGGTCAGGCGTCTGATGCAATTCCTCGATCCCCTTAACGTCGCTTACTCGTTTGCGCGCCGTCTCGGGTTTTGATTGGATGTTCGGACCACGCTTGTTTGCCAGACGCTTTGCCGAGCCGTTGGTCAGTTCGTCCGATCGGTAGCTTGTGTGCGCCACTGGTTGGCGGTGCCGCGAACTGATTGCGATCTCTGATTGTGTTGCCGATTGGTGGAAACCAGTTCGCGCTGTTGGCTGGCGGTTTGGCACGTACGCTACCATCACATCCTTCCTTTTTTCGTTTTTTTGTAGTCCGATTACGTAAGCGCTGTATCGCCTTCCACTGCGTGTAGTCTTGTGGTCGTGTGCTGCCGTATCCACCGAAATGTCCGGCTGCGTTGGCTGCTTCGCACGATGCCGTGCTTGTTCACCACGTTGTCTCCTTAACTGCACCCGGTTGCGTCGAAATAGACTATCCCCAACTCTTACGTCGTAACTTCGTTCGCCTTTGAGACCTTCTACTCGCCCTCTCCTCCAAGACCCGTTAGCTCCCGGTGTCGGCGCGACCCAGACCTCGTCTCCGGGCAACAGGCGTGGAAGCTGCTTCGTTCCGCGATCGTAATATTTCTTTTGTCGAAGCATGCGCTCACGCAAGCGCTCATACATCAAGCTCTGCGATGGTATTTCAGGCTGCAGCAGAGTATTGGCGATCGGCAACAGGGTTCTTGTCCTACGGCCAAACAGCCGTTGCGCTGGACTGCATCCAATTTCGGCAGATGGCATGTTCCTTCGTTCTAACAACATGATGTAAGGATCTTCTTTGGTCTCCTTGGCTTTGGTGAGTAACTTCTTTGCTTCCTTCACGGCTGACTCAGCTTTTCCATTTGACTGACTGTGGTAAGGGCTGGTTAAACGATGAAGGAAATCCCACTTTTCGCTGAAACTCCGAAATTCGGCGCTGTTGAATTGGGGGCCATTGTCGGACACTACCTCTTCCGGTATCCCATGTCGCGCAAACTGCGATCGTAGCTTGTTTATCACGGCCTGTGTGCTAGTAGACGTGAGAGCATCAATCTCGAAATAGTCGCTAAAGTAATCGACAGCGATCAGGTAATTCTTTCCGTCATGTGCAAAGATGTCTAGGGCGACTTTCTGCCACGGCCTTTCCGGGACCTCACGAAGCATCATAGGCTCCTTCGGCTGGCGGACATCATGTGCTCGACAGGCTAAGCAGTTTGAAACATGATCCCGTATCTGACTAGTCATTCCAGGCCAAAACATTAGCTCTCGAGCTCTCGCCACGCAAGCATTGACTCCTGAATGACTTCCGATATCAGCTCCAGCATGGGTCGTTGCATTGCCTTTGGAACGAGTATACGGTTGCCTTTGAAGATTAGCCCATCCTGTGTGACAAGTTCATCCCGAAAGTTAAAGAAGGGAGTCAACTCCTTTGGCAGCTTGTTTTTACTATCGGGCCACCCTTTCAGTATCGTTTCCTTGAGCCGATTACACAGCTCGTCTGCTTCCGTGTGGCGTAGTAGTTGCTGGAAACGCTCCTCTGTGACGGCCATAGCTGAGTGACATGGACAATGTCTTGGTCTTCTTGCGTTGCGGTCACATCGGAAAGATATGCCCTAGACAGTGTGTCTGCAATGTACATCCTCGACCCCGGTTGGTAGACGATGTCTAGGTCGTACTTCTGGAGCCGAATGAGCATTCGTTGTAAGCGGCGTGGGACGACGTGCAGTGGTTTATTGGCTATTGATACCAGAGGCTTGTGATCGGTAAATACAGTGGTCCGGCGACCAAAAGTGTAATCGTTGAAACGCTCTACGGCATAAACCAATGCTAGCATCTCCTTTTCAATCTGTGCATAACGGCGCTCGGATTCCGTTAGTGTCCGACTGCGAAAATCGATGGGCTTCCCGTTCTGCATTAGCACGGCACCGATACCGATTTGGCTGCTGTCACACTGGATTCTCAAGGGGAAGTGACGGATCGTAATACGCTAGGACAGGGGCGCACGCGATCAGTTGTTTGATGTTCTGGAAAGCCTCCCTCCTGTTCTGTGTTCCACTGCCAGCTCTCGCCCTTATGTGTAAGTTTTCGGATAGGAAACCATTACTTCGGCTAGTCGTGGAAGGAAGCGGCTGAGGTAATTCACATCCGTTTAGTCTGGCTCACGGCTTTTAACATCTGTCGGAGGTGGCATCTCTTTTATGGCTCTAACTTTCTCCGGATCTGGCTTTAGACCTTCTGCGCTCAAAACATGTCCGTGGAACACCAGCCCGTTTTTCGTAACTCAATTTTCTCACGTTTCAATCTGATATTCTTGTCTTTACAGCGTTCTAGAAATCTGCTCAGGTTACGGTCGTGCTCTTCCAGAGTCGCCCCAAAAACCACTACATCGTCTGCTACACAAATAGCTCCGGGTAGATCGGCTAGGGCCTGCAGTTAATCGTTTCTGAAAATTTCACTGGACATCTTTCAAACCGAAATGGTAAGCGCAACCACCGAAACCGTCCAAATGGCGTTTCGAACGTGGTTAAATAACTGGACTCTTCGTCAAGCTGGACGTGCCAGAGAAAGCGGAAGCGAGGTCGACCTTCGTGAAGAATCTGGCCTTGGACAACTCGGGTAAGACGTCATCTAGCGTTGGTAGTGTAAAATACTCTCTCCTGAGTGCGGCGTTGAGCGGCTTAGGGTCGATGCACACACGCAAATCGCCTGACTTCTTGGTGATTATCGCGACTTGACTGACCCAATCGGTTGGCTCATCGACCTTGGCAATCACACCTAAACTGATCAAACGCTGCAACTCGTCTAAGAACTTCTCACGCAAAGCGATAGGTACTTTTCTCGCTGGTAGTGCTACTGGTCTAGCGGACTCGTTTAACGACAGGTGAGCTACGCCTTGGAATTTTCCCACGGTACCATCAAACACACTGGGATAGTTGTCTACGATCTCTGTACCGACTTCGCACGAGTGAACAAAACGATCATGATTAAAAGAAACAAAACCCAAACTCTGAATGGAATCAAGGCCCAGGATGGGCATTAAATCTCCTGATACCAGGAGAAAATCAAGTAAATGCTCGGAGCCATCCTTCGGGTTTATGGCCTTCATGGTAACGCAGCCCTTCGGTTGTAACTTTGATCCGTTCCACATTCTGAGCTGTGTCTGTATTTGGCGGTATTCTGCATCGGGACAGTATTTGTGAGGAAGTATGTTCACGCTTGCTCCTGAATCCAATTGGAATCGCACCGGACGCCCTTGAATAAGCAACGTTGCGAATACACAGACTGGTCTCTCACGTCCTGTCATGTTGTTAATAGCCAGTTCCTGCGGCTCTTCCTGATCGTCCTGCCCGACTGAGTCGACTTTGGTTGCCTGACAACAACGTGCAAAGTGGTTCTTCTTCGCACACTTCATACAGGTTCGGCCCCATGCTGGACAATCCTCTTTGCGCCTTGGGTGTGAGCGGCCGCAAAACTGGCATTTGGGTTGATTCGCGCTCGATGACTTCGATACAATTTCTCGGCCTCGGGATACTGCAAACAGATCCGTCGTGGACTCCATCTTGAGCTGCTGAAACTGTTGAGCCGTCCTTGATTCGCTAAAAACAGATATCGATGCAATGTTCCAAAGACAGGTTTCGCTGTCGCAAAAGGCGTCTGGAAAGTTCCTCATTCTTTATGCCAATTATAATTCGATCGCGGATCAGCGAATCTCGTAAACAGGTGCAAAAATTGCAATCCCGCGCCAGAATTTTCAGCTCCGTGATGTATGCGTCGATTGATTCACCCGGCAGGCGATTTCGGCTGAAAAACAGATACCTTTGGTAAGTTTCGTTTGTGTAACCTTCGCAAAACTCGCCGAATCTGCGTATTACTTCATCCAGCTCCATCTCCTGAGTTCCATCGCTGAGATCCAACGTTTGCAGCGTCCGCCTGGCTTCGTCTCCAATGGCATGCCTGAACATCGCCAGTTGATAGGCCATTGGCTGAGAATCCAACTGAGTCAGTGTTACAAAGTCTAGCCACTTCGCCTTCCATATTCTCCAATTCTCCGGCAACGAACTCTCGGTCATTTGCAACGGAGCTGGCAGCGGAATCGTTGGTTGTCCACCAAACGCATGCGGGGTTCGGCGTGTCTTCTTGTCCTCTGTCGCCATGTAAAACGTGCGGCCCTCCGGCAGAAAGAACAACAGGTGGCGGCGACACGAAAATCTTTATTGGCGAGAATTGCTTTCTTTTTATATCAGATATGACCATTTTCTGCGCCCGTTTCTATTCGGCTACTACACTTTCATGCATTTGTCTCCATTTGCCAGTGTCCTTTGATCCTGGGCGTTTCGCCTCCAATCGTTCGGTCGTAATTCGTCCATGGCATTTGCTACAATTGGTTCCCCATGCTGTGTCTTGACGATCAAAAACCAATCGGCCGATGGT